TATATATTCATTAATTTACTTAATGCGCCAACTGGGGAAAAATGACTCATGAAGGACACCTCACCGACTAACACATGTAACTAATAAGCGTGATGATCTTTTTTTTTTTTTTTTTTTAAATAATAATTAAAAAAAACTACATTAGCATCAAAACAAAAAAGGGCGCCAATTGGTAGAAATTGCAAGATAATAACGAATTGAAGGGATGCTAAACTTTAGAACGAGTAAAGCATCTCTCTTTTTGCACCAGCTGTATCATTTGCAGGGATTAAGAGTATTTGATTTCTAGTATTAAGTAAAAATCTCTAGCAATCATATCTAAATAAATTAATGAAAGCTCATGAGAGGTGTAAGATTATTTATGCAAACAAAATTGAAAAAAAAAGGAAAATTTATGAGCCCCCATGCAAATTAAAATAATGTTATTAGTATATGTTATTTATTATTGATGCGTGGTAGAAGATTCATGGTGTTAGTATTGCACGAGAACCCATCACACACTTATGTAATTAAAGAGAAGTAAGCCGGATGAGATACCTCGATTTTTTACGTGAAAAATTGTTGAAAGCTATCGCACGTGAAACCACTATGAATGGTGAGTACACATGTCCGCTCTTCTACTGAATTAGAGAAGATGATATTACAAAGTTAGATATCTGTAAATTGGATATAAATCTCGACGACAGTAGGCTGCAAGGGTCATAGTTGGTTGTGCGAGGTACTAATTTGTCGTGAGTAATATAGAAGGTGGTTGTAGTGTCAGCTTGTCGTAGAAATCATAGTTATTAACTATGATAGTAGTTGGCCATGTGGGTCGTGGATGGTTGCTTCAGGAGGATCAGTTAGCCACGAAGGTTATAGTTGAGAGTTATAGGAGTTGTGGACCAAATATATTGTATAAGCCATAATGGTGAGTTGTGATGGCGTCCGTGGGCCGCAATGACTGGATTTAGAAGCTACATGATATGTAAACAACACCACCCATAGTGAAGAGTTGTAATGATGTCTGTAGGTTGCAGGGGTCTGAGTTGGGAGCTACACGAGCTGTGAACTACGTAGGTTGTAGTTGGTCATGTAGGCTGTTTTCATGAGTTGTAATGACATCTGTAGGTCATGTGAGCCAGAGTTAGGAGATACATGAGCATATGTGAGGCGTGTTGTTACCACTTTTTTGAGATGCATTGTTGCACCATCATTGAGGTGCGTTGTTACACAGTGTTTGGGGTGCATTGTTGCACTGTCTTTTGGGGTGCATTGTTACACCGACTTCAGGGTGCGTTGTTGCACTGCCTTTGGGGTCAACTGTGCTCGAGATGACGCCCTGCTTCGCAGGTTGCTTCGTGACTCCATGTTGTCAGTTGTTGATTAACACAATGCTTCATCGTAAGGAGTGGGCAGCGATCGATGGTGATTGACGGTGACCAAAGAGTGGTAGTCAACGGTGGTCGGCGATTGCAGGAGAAAGAGACAACTTCAGCTCCTTCTCCGAGCTTCAGTCTTCTTCAAGCTTCAAACTCCATTCCTCGGTTGTAATTAATGAATGAATATGAACCACTTTGATTGGATCATCTTGAAAGATTCCCTCGATCATATAGTGTTTGATGGACATTTAAGTACTTTAGCGATGTTAGAATTGAGTGATGTCGAGCTCATTGGATTTGCCTTCTTGGGACGCTTGATATGATTATAAGTTCGTCATATTTGACATCTATTTAACCTTCTAAATTAGTCCAGAAAGCTTTCAAAATTAATTTAATTGTTTGATAGAGGCTTGAATTGACTCGAATTGGACCAATTTTGGTATCGTTAGATCTGTCTCGTTGAGCCGGTCAGTTTGACTATAACTTTGTTGAAATTATATTTCTTGACGACTTTTCCTCAAAATTTAAATGTTACTTGCTCAGTAAGGTGCATCTCTATCCGTGCCATACCTCTAGATTCATATCGAATGATGGAAATTTATTGGAGGTCATCAATTGCAAAGGATGCACTAGCCTCATAGTCCAGGAAAGTGTCCAAACATTATAGTATATGTGAAGTGCATAAGATGGCTCCTATGATAGATGTAGTGAGAACCTTAAGGTAGAAATAAAAAAGAGGACTATTGAGGTGTTAGATTTAAATAAGATCTGATTAAAGATCTTCTTAGAAAATGGATGGTTGAAACGTAGAAAGGCTGTACAAGCTTGAAAATGATGATTCAAAATAGGTGGAAATATTTAGCATTGACATACATCAACGATGATGTTGATGAAAAGCATCAAAGATTGTAGTTGTAACAGATGTTGTGCTCAGTGAAAATAACGGGATTAAACTTCGTGGAAATGATTAACATCAACAACACAACCAACCGCTCAATTCCTACGTATTCATGTATCTAACACCTCAACTTCAATTTTTACATGTATGCCGCCATACATCTACATGAAAAAGTGTATTTTCACGTTTTAAAAGTTAAAATTGTTGTATTTTTTATTTGATATGAAAAATTCGGGATTTATAAATGTAAAAAGCAAAGTTAAGTTGTTACATATATAAATACCTTGGAACTAGGTGATATGTACCTAAAACTACTACAGGGGCTAAGGCAGATGCTTCCATTGTAGTAGTGAGGATATAATAAAAATATGGTCAAGAAATGGAGAACTTTGGTACTCCGGACTTAACTATTTATAATGTGGGACAATTTCACTGCAATCGGTATTCCCATTACCTGACATCATCCACAAGCAGAAACATAAACTTGGATAGAAAGGAAATGGTTGTTCTGTGAACACAATACGATAGATTGTGATTATTGGCTTATCTCGTGTTTTATTTCTACAACACGTTGAATGTTTCCATTATTTTCTTCAAACTTGTTAAAACACAATTATTATTGGGCTGATTTATGTACTTTAACATGTTGGAAGATGCTCAGCATCCATGACTGTTCTTCTTTTGTAGTAACATCACTAACTCTCTTGGATCTGTCTCTACAGTCTCTAACCTATCCTGTGTGGATCCACTGGATATGCATTAGTTCTGCTACATTTCTATGATTAAATGATGCTTGGATATCCTCAGCTATGCTTTTTATATGACAAGAATTACTCATAAGAAAATAACAATATTAAAAATGAAATTTTCATATGAACTAAATTTAATTTTATTTTGTTCTTTTTTGTAGCTACTTCGGTTTGTTCAGAAATACAAATAAATAATTTTTATATGAAATATATATACATAACATAATTCTTATGCATTTTTCGCTTCATCATTGAAATGTGTGTATGGTTATTGATCACTTTTGACTCTTGCATAGAGAACACTCGAGCTTCCTCACTGTTGTGATGAAGCCCGAGCTTCCTCACTGTTGTGATGAAGCCTCTATCTTGTCTCGGACATTTAGCCGATGTATTACCAGTTAGTTTCCATCTTCTTGGTAACTTTTATAGGGTACACAGTGAATTAAGTATGGTGCTTCAAAGCTTGTGCAGTTTTTTGTACAATTGTTCTTCCTACTGAAAGTATTGCTGGTAAAGTGGTTATGTTGTTCAGAATTCAAATCAAATCTCTTTATTTATTAGGAATTAGGCGACATATATGTAAAATTTTTATTTAGTCGTTCAAGATGTAAATACATATAAATTGAGTGGTGTATATATAAAAATTAAAGTTTTAACATTTATTTAAACAGTTTTTTTTTTTTTTAAGTTTCAAATTTAATCTTATCCAAGTCAGACATTCAAAATATTGTTTTTTTTTATTTTTTCTGTCATTATTTTAATATGTTGGCTTGGTTTGTATGGCCCTACATTCTGAATAGTGTTTGCTTCGTATAGAAATTGATTAAATTCAATTTTTGTGTGGCTTGACGTCCCAAACACAACTTAGAAGCACATGAACCGGCTTAGAACACTTGTGGTGGTTTAAACCGTTATGGAAGTTTGGCTTTCCGCATTGGGGTTCAAACTGTTACAAAACCCTTTATGATGGTTTAAATCGCTGTGGAGCGGAAAATTATTCTATCAGGACTCTTAATGTAGAGGTGTGTTTGGAGTCCACTGATATGCGGACACGTGGCTTCAAGGACCCTCACTCAAATCTCTAGAAAATAAAAAAGAAAACATGCGCGTTTTCTCGTGATCTGGCCCAGTAACACAGGGGAATATTCCTCCCGTGTTATTATGCGTTATTCAAATATTATTGTGGTGATATTGATGTGTTATTGTGTTATTATAACACCGGAAATATTCTCATAACATAATAATATATGAATACCATCACAATGACACCTGAATAACGCGGAATAACACGGGAGGAATACTCCTCTTGTGTTAAAACAATTTTTTTTTATTTTTATGTCACCTCCACGTGGCGTGATTTCATTGAACTTCAAACATACCTTCGGAGTCCGATGTAATACTCTTCCCTCTTCCAAAATGGCTGTTAAAAGCAATCTTTATTGTAGTGATATCTTAAATTCACTAAGAAAAAAAAAAACTTTTTCTTCCAAACTCAACTCCCGTATTGAATTATTTAATCCAAATGTTAGGTATTGTCCAACGTATTTCTTTATTTATTTATGACGGCTGATTTCTTCAACCATTGGCCGGGCGGGCCGGACCTTCCACCCTCCTCACAGCAACTATAAATGCAGAGCACGAAGAAATGAAAAAGCCATGAAACAGCATGGCTCTCCCTGTCCAAGACGAGCTCTTTCATCAATTAACAAGCACCAGCGTGAATGGCAATTCCAATTCCAACTCATTCCTCTCCGTATTCCTTCTCCTACTCCTCCCATATCTACTCATCATCTTCCTCCGCTCTCGCGCAAGATCATCATACAACCATTACAAGAACAACTTCAGACTCCCACCTGGCCCATCCCCTCTCCCCATCATCGGATCTCTTCATAAACTCTTCGGCCAAATCCTCCACATAGCCTTCCGCCGCCTCTCCAAAGAACACGGCCCACTCATGCACTTGCTTCTCGGCCAAACCTCCACCATAATCGCCTCCTCTCAAGAAGTCGCTTCAGAAATCCTAAGAAATCAGGACACCGTTTTCTGCAGCCGCCCACGCCTCTCCGCTGTCACTCACTTCTCCTATGGCGGCTTAGACATCGGCGCTTCCCCTTTCGGCGAAGGATGGAAGAAACTGCGACGATTCGGCAGCAACAAGATGTTCAATCCCGGAAAGGTGCAATCTTTCAGCTTTATTCGACAGGAGGAGGTGAGTGTCATGGTCGGATCCATAGCAAAACGTTCGCTGCAGGGAAAGATGATAAATTTCAGCGAGATTGCAATGTGTCTGTTCAATAATATTACATTCAGAGAGGTTTTCAGCAAGCGCGCGTCCCCTGATGGAGAGTGCTTGTTGAGTCCGCACTATAATCTTATCATGCGCATGATGACTTTGATGACAGAGTTCAATGTCAGAGACTTTTTCCCTTCGTTTTGGTGGCTTGATTTCTTAACTGGTTGGCGGTTTAAGATTGAGAGATGCTTTCGGGCTATGGATCGTGTGTTTGAAAAAGAGATTAATTTGAGATTAAAACAGCATGCTAATAATATTTATTACGGAGATTTCCTTGATGATGTTCTGAAGCGTCAAAAGGAACTGGATCCATCACTTGGCTATCTCTTCTCGCGCAAAGAGATGAAGGCCCTTCTCATGGTAGGTATATATAAATATCGTTCTGTTCTGTTCATTACATATATAGAAACAGAGACAGAGATGTAATTTAAAACTTCTGTTGTTTTTGCAGGATATGTTTTTAGGGGGATCAGATACAAGCTGTGTGACGCTGGAGTGGGCGATGACGGAGCTGATTAGGAATCCGGCGGCCATCAAGAGAGCACAAGAAGAGGTCAGGCGAGTAGGAAGAAACAGAGAAAGATTAGAAGAAAGCGACATGGAGGAGCTTCAGTATTTGAAGATGGTGGTGAAAGAGACACTTCGTCTTCACCCCCCAACAACCCTATTAGCTCCACGTGAGTGCATGAAAGACACGCAGATCCATGGCTACGATATCCCGAAGAAGACTTTGGTGATCATAAACGCTTGGGCCATTGGAAGGGACCCCAAGTACTGGGATGAGGCAGAGGTGTTCAGGCCGGAGAGATTCGAGCTAAAAAAAGTAAATTTTAAAGGGAATCACTTTGAGTTTATTCCATTTGGATCGGGAAGGAGGATCTGTCCTGGAATGACACTTGGCTTGGCGAGCATAGAGCTTGCTCTGGCTAATATTTTATATAGTTTTGACTGGGAATTACCGTTCGGGATGACCGAGAAGGATGTGGACATGGGAGAGCTTTTTGGGCTCTCCACTCATAAGAAGAAGCCACTGCTATTGGCGGCGACTCCTGCTGTTAATGCTCCGGTTCGCCTGTGATCGATCGAAGCATAAAAATCGCCTCTTTTATTTTGTTTTTCTTCTTTCGATAAAGGTTATCTGCCATGGTATTATCTGTTGGATTAACGTTTGTCTTTCTGTTTGACGATGCGTTGACTTGGTAGGCTTATGTTTGTCCGTTTGTTTTTATAAATAATTTGGAAATTTACGTACATAGTGATCTAATCTTATGTATTCGACTTCAAATTTTGATATTTACCGTTATAATATTTTGGTGTGATAAATTTATGCATGAAAATGTATATTTCGCTTTTAAAAAGATAATGATGATGATATATTTTTATATGATGTCAAGAATTTGGGCAGTATAGTTATAATTATGAATGTTTAGATTTTAGATATGTAAATATGTTAAGAGTTATGTGATATATGTATACAGATGCCCATAAATGCTAGAAACCATATAAAAATGCCAAAAATTGAAAGGAAAAAGGAAGACAACAAATGCTAGGAACCATAAGAAAATATGAATAATCGAACATCAATCTTTATGCTTCTCGATTTTTCAGCAAACGATATAGATCTTATTGCAAAATCTAATACTTAGATAAACGAAATATGCGAGATACATAAGAAAATAGGAAAATAAAACATTAAACTAAAATTTTCTAAGCTCCCAGATCCGTTTGATATATATATATATACCTTTTGTTATCTCAAACTCCAATATTTCTAAAAGAATATCACATATATGAAAAGAACAATAGAGCTTTGAAAAGAGCAAAAAATAACACTCGATGATCGTCAGGGCACCTTTGGCTCAAACTTATCGTCAGGTGTTTGTTTTCCGTGTCTTCGTTATTGTGGGATAAACTGGTTTTCTTTTGTATTACACGATACCGCACTTTCGACCTCGCACCCCGCGTTTGGAGAAAACATACTACTGGCTCTGCCCTCCCCGCGATCGTGCGTCCGGTGTTATTCACGGTATTATTCGCGCTATTTGCAAGCCGTTGATTCCCAGTGTTATTCAAGGTACTATTCAGGTGTTATTGCGGCATTATTCTCACATTTGACCAACCGTTGTTTCACGGTGCTTTGCGGTGTTATTTGCGGTAGTATTGATGTATTATTGTGATGTTATTTGCAATATTATTTGTATTTTTTGCCAGCCATTGATTCGTAGTTTTTTACAATGTTATTTGTGGTAGTATTCAGATGTTTTGCGTGTTTTGAGGTACTATTCAGTTATTTTTGCGGTGTTTTCGCGGTCTCTTACGGTTAAATTAAATAGCTATATATTAATTCACTATATTTATATTTAGTGTTTTTCTATTTACTATGTTAACTTGTATAAAATTAAAATTATACATAGTTAAATATAATTAATAAATAAAGTATTTTAAGATGATAAACAATTTAAACAATTTTCAAACAATTTGAATATTCGAACAATTCAAATATTTCAAATATTTCAAACTTATTTCAAACAAATCGAACCGAACACGAAGAGTAACTTTACGAACAATTTCAAGCACGAGCCTATTTCAAACACGCTTAATTTCAAAAGAAATGAACATGAACACAAGCTATGTTCGTTCGTGTTCGGTTCATTTACACTCCTATTCTCGACCCGCGAGCTTGTTAACGAGTCGGGCTCGAGTCAGCATGCAAGCCAGCTTAACTCATCCTCACCCTTTGGCTGACCGATTGATTATGTTATTTTTATTTGGTGATAACATTCTTGACGATAATTGCTGTTATGATCATAAAGCCAAGCTTGAAGATGGTAAAAAAACCATATAATATCGCTGCTAACTGTGGGAAGGCAAGGAAGAGATTGCCATACGGAGAATCACAAAAACATTAGCCATATTAATATTGGTATGAAAGCATTAATGTGAGCCCATATATGTATATCAATTTTATATTATTCCACGATTTAGGCTTGCTTTCATAATTTATATTATCCGTATTTATGAATACCTAAGGTAGCTGTAATTTATGTTCCTTCTAATTAATTGTGAAAGCCAATGATTGTTGACCTGTTAAGTTTTTCTGCATTGGAAGCTGGAGTTCATCTGTCTTGATTGTGTAATTACATCCAGCTTGTCTGACAAATGTTTTATTTATGAACAACTAGGAATAAAGTAGTTATATTTACCTACAAACATTATTTCCTACTATTTTTATTTAAGATTCTATAGATGATCTATACCAACATGACAAGTAATTATGATACTATCAGAATATGTTTCTGTAATTGCGAGTGTTCTGATTGTTGTCATATGGTATGAAGGTTTTGTTGTTAAAGTTGACCGTTGGCTTGAATTTGTCATCAAGAGCAATGTGTTTAGTTTCAAATCATGCGATAGCTCACTAGTTGTTATTTATAGTTTCTTAATGATTGTGTTTAGGGCTGTCAAAATGGCTCGTTGTTCGCAAACAACTTGTGTTCGGCTTGTTCGCTAAGTTAATGAGCCGAACACAAACAAGGATTTGTTCGTTCGTGTTCAGCTCGTTTTGGCTCGAAATAATGCTCATCGATTATATATATATTGATGAGTAGTGTTTTTTAAAAATTTTAATTGACTATAAGGATACAAAGATTTATAATAAATTAAAAGTATTAATTAAGAAAATAAAATACAAATTATTAAATTCGATTCAAATGATGTTTTAATCTAAACAATAACTTTTAAATCTTGCCCCAGTCCTTAACATCTTATGATTACGTGATTAGGGTTGTCAAAACGACTCTTTGTTCGTGAGCAGCTCATGTTCGGCTCGTTAAGCAAATGAGCCGAACACAAACACACTTTTTGTGGGCAAAAATAAACAAGTCGAACGCGAGCTGAGCCTGAACTCGCTCGTGTTCGGTTCATTTATACCCCTAATTGTGCTACGCTTGTGTGCAGATTGTTATGGTGTTCTGATGAAAGTGCCTTTTTTACGCCCTGCTGTTTTGTAGAATTTCTAAGTGCAGGGAAATTGCATTTTACATATTTAACAAATAAACTTTTAAGTTTTATTTATTTTCCACCTTTCCAATGAATGAAAAGGTATATTTATCACTCCTATTTGTTTATCGATATGAAAGATTTGGATGGTATAAATGTAAAAAAAAAAGTAAAGTTGAGATGTTGGATTGTGTGTATATATATATATATATATATATATATATATATTTTTTGTAGAGATAAAATATTATATTTGAAGATATAAAATAATTTATGTTATTATTTGTTGTTTTATTTAATTTTTAATCAATTAATCTGCATGCTAAATTTTAATTTCTTCATCATTTACGTTATTGGATAATGAAATATGTTGGTTCTAAATGATGTGATTACAAGAATAGTCTAAAGTGAGAGCATTGGGACAATCGCCTCATAAAGAAGATTATAAAGAATATTTTTGAAAGAGTAGACACACTTCACTGGTGTCAACTTGCGACACATTTGTCATAACTAGTTGATCGGGTTTCATTATGTTTGTCTAATTTTGACTTGTATAAGATAATTAATATTTTTTATTACACATGAGGGCGACAAAAATGTTAGCGTTGGCGTGGAGTCCGGTCCACCCAACCCGTGACTGCCTCTCCTTTTGTTTTCGTGAAACGACGCTTCCGATCGCGAAGGGTCACACCTCTTCACAAATAACCGCTCCCTCCTTTCTTTTTTGCGAAGAGAAGCATCCCTTCGTCAGAAACCGCTCCCGCCTCCTCTATTTCGGGAAGCGAAGCATCACTTCGCTTCGTTCTCTTCGTGATAAAAGGAGAGACTCTTCTTCATATCTACAAGACACAAGAAGTCACGATTTTCTTCTTTAGATTTCCTCGGGATAGAGGAAGAGTTGTTCGGGTTTCCACGGGATAATAGAAGAGAAGAAGTGCAAGGAGGAGTAGTTTCTTGCGGCAGAAGGAAGAAGAAGGAAGAAGAAGAAGATTGTTCTCCCTAGGCTTCTTCTTGGTGGCTTGTGGCAGATAAGGGTGTAAACGAACTGAACACGAACTAACAGAGCTTGCGTTCGTGTTCGGTCGTTTGAAATTTAGTTTGTTTGAAATAAGCTCGTATTTTAAATTGTTCGTAAAGTCACTGTTCGTGTTCATTTCTTAACGAACGAACCGAACACGAACCGAACACCAACTGTTTGCAAATGACGAGTCAGTTTGACATCTCTAATATTAATATATATAAATAATATATTATATTAATTATATAACTTATATTATATAAATATATAATATCTACGATTCGAGTACGAATGAACGCATCACTGTTCGTGTTTAGTTCGTTTAACTAACCGAACGAAAAAAATTTGATCAAGTTTATCAATTTGATCAAGTTTGTCTCGTTTACTTATTGAACGAATCGAACACGAACTCATTGACGAATCAAACACAAACTGTTCGCGACAACGAGCTTTTTTGACAGCCCTAGTGGCAGAAGAGAAATTGGGTTTATTTCTCTTGTAAGTTTGTCTTCTTCGGTGTATCTCGGTGTAGAGTTTTCTTCGGTGTATCTCGGTGTATAGAGAGAATAACAGAGAAAGAAGAAGAGAGAGAGCAACGATAAGTGAGAGAATCCTCTTGTAAGTCGACGTGATCGACTGGTGTAAATTTTCTTAAGTAGCAAAATCCTCTGCAACTCCGTAGACGTAGGCAATTTGTCGAACCACGTAAATCTGTGTTCTTTTCTGGTCTCGTTCTATTCGTTCTATTTTTCGCTTCGTCGATCGTTCTCCTGTTTAATTTATATATATACCACATCAACTGCTCTGGTACATATTTCATAACAACTGATATCAGAGCTTTGTTCAGATCTGAGGAAGAATGATGGCTGCAGATGAAGTGAGTGAAAATTTCAGAGATTGAGAAATTTGATGGCACAGATTTTGGTTATTGGAGAATGCAGATAGAGAATTATCTTTATGAGAAGAAACTTCATCTTCCGTTATTGGGGAAAGACCTGAAAGGATGGATGGGGTTGAATGGAATTTGTTGGATCGACAAGTTCTGGGGGTTATTCGATTGACTCTATCGAGGTCTGTTGCACACATCCTCGTCAAGGAAAAGACAACTGCAAATCTAATGACAGCTTTATCAGGTATGTATGAAAAGCCATCGGTGAATAACAAGGTGCACTTGATGAAGAAGTGATGAAGAA